CAAAATTGAATGTTGTTGTATGCTCAGTATCAAACTCTTTTCTTAGCAGTCAAATGTGATTTTTAAAATTTATCCAATGATTGTTTAACTATTCCAGATTTGTTTGCATAGTAATAACATTCCTCTCCTGGAAATATGCAAGTTGTGTGTGTGTGTGTGTGTGTGTGTGTGTGTGTGCAGTGAGCAAATCAAGGGCTCTTTTATCTGTATGCTAATGAATCTGAGTTTCTAAAGCTTGAATTGTACCTTGCACTTCTTCTAAGTCTTTTCTAATCTGTCCCAAAGCCATGAACTGCTATTGTTCTAACTGGAGAGCTATAAGCACTTAGAGTAAGGCTCTCTGTTCTAGTCAATCCTGTTGATATGGGGAGGACAACTGGGTCCCCCCTTTCTTTTTTACCAAACCATTTGTTGTTGCAATTTGTAAAGGCATCTTTCTCCATAGCTGAAGTAGTATAGACAGACAAGTTGGGGATTAGGGTCCCCAGAGCACATAAACCAGTAGAATGCTTTGAAATCACCTTAAAAATAACATTTCCACAGTGAAAGTTCCATTTGGGACAGAGTAATTACCAGTGGTAGAAGACATGTCAACAATATCAGTGCACACAGCTGAGACATTGTGTGACCTTTGGATACCAAGAAAGCAAGTCCCATTCCCAATTACATCTAATGGGTAGCTGAGCAAAGGATACATAGTAAGCTTTACTGGCTCTAAGGGCAGGCCATTCATGATGCCAGTTGTTTGATAAGTCATCACATTGAGTGGTGCACAAATCCATCAATTAGAGGGTAATTTCTAGTCAGTCTATAGCAGCAGTGAATGAGTACCATTAATCAAGTCCATCATATCTATTTCTGTATAATTTTGGATGCCCTTTTGGGATATTCTGTATTTCTGGCAGTGCAGGACTGTTCCCTGTTTCTGGAGGGGACTTTCCAAATCTTTTAAATCTGCAGAATCTATCTTTTTAGCTTCTGAGGCCCATGCCTAGCAGTTGACTGATACCCAATATAAACATAAAAAAACCTATTCCTTGTGGTCAGCTTGTTTCTCAAGGCCAAGCTATATACAATTTTTAAAGGATATATACATTTTACATTATCCCTGTTTACCATTATCACAATTGCCAATACTTTTGGGTTACAATAGAACTGTTTAACCCTATTTGAGTCTTATCTGAATAATATATCTTTTCTGTGTATACTCCTCACAGTCAAGTATGGTACCAGGGCTTTTATAAAGTTCTTTTAGACAGGCATCAAAAAGAAGCATGAGGGGATGTTCCTCCAGTTCCCATTTAACAGTTTTAAAGGTCACATATTTTTATCAATCTTATCTTCAGGCATATAAACTCTTAATTAAAAAAATAGCTCATAACAGTTTGACACCATAAAAGAGTCCATAATATCTTGATTGCAGTCCTCATTCTTCAGCCATGTATGTACTCACCAGTTTCTAGTGTGGTGAGAGCAGGGCTTTGAGATCGATGTCTCCTGGAGTCAAAGTCTGTGGAATTCTCTGGATATGCCTATTTCACTCTAGACTGGTGGTAACTGGACTTCAGCTACCTTGACAGCTGTGGGAGTAAACATAAGTGCCCCATATGGTCCTTCCCATATAGGTTGTGAAGGGGTATTTTTTCAATTTTTAACATAAACTTGGTCCTCCAATTTTATCAGATGGTCAGGAGTTAGCACAGGAAGGTCCTCTTTATTTCTAATGTGCCCTTGAATATTTTGGAACACTTTGCCCAATTCTAACAGCTGTAATTCCTTACTGGATGAGCCCAGTTGAGATAAATTTGCCATAAAGTCTCTCAAGATACCGGGTAGCCTTCCAAACATTTCTCTCATATAGGGAGAATCCAGTATGACTTGGGGTATTTCTTATTTTAAGGAGGGCTGAAAGGAGCAGATTGACCCATAACCCTGGTGTTGTCTGACAAAATTTAGTTAATACTCCCTTAGTGGTACAATTTTTTTTAACCTTACCGGAACTCTGAGGCTGGTAAGCAGTATAACAGTTTAGCTAGATTTTGTACAACCTCTGCTACAAATGCTGGCCCATTGTCAGTGCCTATGGAGAGAGGCAGACCAAAGCTTAGAATTTCCTCCTTTAATAAAATTTTGTATACCTTTGAGGCCCTTCCTGTTTTCATAGGGAAGGCCTCTGGCCATCAAGAATAAGTCCAAACCCATACCAACACATATTTATAACCTTTACAAGGGGTTGGTATAATCATCTAAAGTTTCAGTTTAGTTGTTGTTGTTGTTGTTGTTGTTGTTGTTGTTGTTGCTTTTGCTTATATGTCTAACTAAGCATTGCCTTTTGCTATTGAATCTTTTCCTTCTTGGTGTCCAGAGCAATGTATTGCTACTTTGTCAGAATCCCACATTGTTTCCAACAACTGTATTATTTCCTGTTTATTTTTAATGTTTGCCTTCTGCTGTGAGAAGATCACACTTTTATAGACTGTGCCATAGATAAGTAAAGTAGTAAACAGGAATCTGTATAAACATTTACCCTCTTTTCTTTTGCCCATTGGAGAGCCTATATGAGTGCCTATAGCTCTGCTCATTGAGCTGACCATTGGTGGGGAGGGATCCTGCTTGGACTACTTCATCTTGAGTCATCTCTGCATAGCTAGCATAGTGTACCCCATTTTCCACAAAGCTGCTCCCATCTGTGAACACGATGAAATCAGCAACAGACAGTGGGTCTTTCTGCAGATCCAGATGACTCAAGAACAACTCATCAGGGACCCTGAGGCAGTCATGGTCAGGGGGCCAGCATCCAAGGGCAAAAAGTAGCAGGGTTTAGGGTTTTAAATGGAACAAAATATAGGCAGGGATTCTTACAGATAAAAGCCTGATATTATGTGACTCTATTATTTGAGAGCCATCAATGTCCTCTGTTATTCAACAGTTCTAAAAGGCATGGAGAAATTGAACAATCAATTTTTTTTCTAATGTTAGCTTGTCAGCTTCTTCAATTAGCATAACTGCAGCTGTTGGGGCTCATAAACAAGGGGGCTATCCATCCACAGCTGGATCCAAACTCTAAGATAAATATGCTACTAGCCTACTCTTTGAGTAAGCATCCCTAAAGTAGTGTGATTTCTTTCAGCCACATACAAAGTAAAAGGCTGTCACATCTAGGATCCCCAGTACAGGAGGCAGCAGAGAGAGAGTTAGTTTTAGCTGCTTAAATGTTGACTTTTGCCCTTCACCCTGTAATAACTGCTATCCTTCTGGACCCTTTAAAGCATCATATAGAGGTCTGGCTATGTCTGCAAACCCTGGAATCCAGATCCTGAAAAAAACCTCTCATCCCCCCAAAATTCTCTCATCTGTTTATGAATCCTTTCATCCCCCAAGCAGCATATTCCTTTCTTGGAATCCTAGATATTTGACTTGCTGTACACAGATTTGAGCCCTTTCCATGAAACTTTATATCCTGTCTCTTGAAGCAGCATTAATTGTTTCTTAATACTCTATGAAGTATCTATTCATTTAGTACATCAGAAAATTAACAATAATAATCATAATTATATATATGAAAGTTTATGCCCTTTAATCTAATTTGGTATCAAAAGCACTATTCCAATAAAACCTCTTAATAACTGTTTTCCACAGAAAACACATTTTGAAAATGACCATTATAAAGATATCACAATAACATATTTAGAATCCAACCCTTTGATGATAACCAATGTAAACATTTTATAACAATATATTTAGTGATGCTTATTGGGGGTATATCTTCTCAGAAGGCTATGAAAACTATTGGGGCTCCTATTAGTGAATAAAGACCAGAATAAATTTTTTTTCTGAGCAGCTGTCCTTTTTTCATTAACAGGAGTCTCTCCAGACCTAAGAGTTTATATTTAATTATCTTGAAAAAATTTTAACTTATAAAACCGAGTTGTAGAAATTAATGAATTATTTGTATTCTTGATGTCATTTTAATAAAAAAAATATAACTGGACAAACACCTTTCAAACAATTGGACAGACACAGATAAAACATATAAGACAATTTATGAAACTAGAGTACACTCAAATGTATTTGGCCAATTGAATTATAAAATCTCTTTTAGTAAAGACTAGTCAAAACTTTTCTTTTTTTGGTACCAGGGATCAAATTCAGGACCTTGCACTTGTGAAGCAGACAGCAGAATCACTGAGCTAAATCCCCAGCCCATGAACTAGTTAAAACTTTTGCAGGTCAATTAACAGAGATCTCTTGTAAAATTAGAATCAAAAGGAATGAAAGCTCTTTATGCCTGTAAATGTAAACCTTTTATAACAAACTTGAAACTAACAAGCAAATATACATATTTTCTTGATAAATCATTTCTTCACACCTTCTCTACATACTTAGACCTTTGGGTCTTGTATATCTTTCTTTATCACTTTCTAACAAGACAAACACAAAGTCCTTTCATACCAAAAGTGTATCTCTTTTATCCATAGTTTTCCTAATATTTTTCTCTGTCTTTACTAGTAATCTTCTATAACAAACTTCAGTTGTTAAAGTCTTAAAATGTCCTTTTTTCTGTTCTCAGATGGTTACATCTTTAAATTTGACTGGATGTCAATAGAACAGTATTAACCTTGAATTTTTTTTTCCCAACAAAGTACAGAAAGGAGCAGATTGACCCTATAATCACAATTTAAAAATTTGCAACACACAAGAAAATTTCTTCTAGGCACACCAATCCAATCAAACATCATCTCAAATAGAAACAAAGATATATTTATCAAATAGTTAAAATTTGTAAATTGCTTTCCCTTGTAAATTTTCCTTGATGTCTGGTAGAGAGCAGTTGCAGTTTCTCTGGTTTTGTTTTGGATTCCAGACCTTTGCAGGCAGCATCAGGCTGTTAATATAGGGCTGGCCTTGGGGCTCTTAAAACCTGGAGTGTTTTTTCTCTATTTTTGTTCATACTTTTCAGAGCTTTCCTATTTTATTTTTTTGTTTTATTTTATTTTTTCCAGAGGAGAGTGTGAACATAGTCCCCCAGTACCACAAATTATAGTTAAGTTTTCCACATTTGGGGAAATTGCAGGGGTCAGCACATTCAGAGTGCAATGGGTAAACCTTGCCCTGGGAAAACCACCTTCATGATCATGGTATCTCTCCTGTCAGGTAAGTATTGTTTTATTTCATTTTTGAGATAGTCTCACTGTGAGTTCAGGCTGGTCTTGAATTCACTATATAGCACAGGCTGGCCTCAAACTCATGGAAGTCCTCCTGCCTCAGCCTCCCAAGGGCTGGGATTACAGGCATAGTCTACCACGCCCAGCAGGAATTTTATTTTATATTACTCAAAAACTTCCAAATATATTCAAAGTTTTAGAACCATAGATTTTCTTTTATAGTTCTGTATTTTTTATTTTCACTTTTGTTTGAGGTTTTTTATAGAGGTAATAGAGAACTTCATTCTTTTTCATAAATAAAACATTATCTATGCATATGTAATATAACTCATGTAAACAGCATCCTTTAGATAAGCACTTTTTAAGGAAGCTACCTTCATCTTTCTTTTTTTCCCATTAAGTTTATTGGTACATTTAAGGTAAATAACACAGTTACATTCATCACTCGGATCTTGTACCTTTACATGATGTATCTCAAAGAACCAGAGATGTTTAGATTTATCTCATGTAATTCCTCCATTTTGCTGGCATCGATACTAATAATTTTATGTGTTGATTTTGTCTTGTTTTATCTGAAACAGGTAGAGAATCTGTAAGGTTCAAAATTTATTGTTTCTGATAATTTCTCTTTTTGTTTCTTAGTTTAGCTTTTCATATTTTAATGTATCCTAAGCACAAACCCCACACATACATGATGAATTCAGTAGTTTTAATATTATATATCACCTGTAAAATATTAGCTTTAATTAATAATTTTCTGTAGATATTCATTTGAAATTATTTTTCCCCACCCTTTCTCTGTGGGTCTTTTGCCTGGTGGTTTTGCCTTTCAATTTCCTTTTGTTACTTTGTTTTAGATGTGTAATATAGCAATGCACATAGATGCAAGTTTCAGAGAAAATACCCAAATATTTTCCTTTGTTTAAATAATTTTATATTCTCTTTTGAAATACTATGTGTTTCCTTTGATTGCTCTGTTTTTAATAATATTTTTTTCTCTCATTGAGTTTATGGTACATTTAGGTATATGGTACAGTTACATTCATCATTGGGATCTTGTACCTTTACATGACAGGTCTTGGTTCTCATTTTTCCCCCTTGCCCCTGCCCTCTCCTCCCCTCCCCATTTACAAACATTTTATTTCCATTTTTTAATTTTCTCTTATTTTTTCCCTTTCCTTATAATATTTTGATTGCTTTATTTTGTTCAAATCTAATACTGGTTATAAGCAGCATAAACATAGCAATGATTGTCAAATTGAACTTCTGAACATGTAAAATTTGAAAGCAGAACAACATGGATTTTGTAAAACACAGTGGTATTAGGCCATTTTAATAGTAAAACTTGACCTGCCATTTGTGACAATAGCATTTAGAATGCATTTTGAATTTTAATCATTCATTCACTAAACTTATGATTATTATATAACCACATACTACATGTGCTTTCTTTTACTTAATATTTTTGACAGATTGACTTTAAGGATAATTTTTTATAGTATTACACTAAGTGGTAATATCATTAAATTTTAGGTTAATAATGAGACATTTTTATAAATATGTTAAGGCAAATGTATTTAATTAAAATTAAACATTATTTATGCAAGCACCCATAAAAGTTTTGTTATGGCTTATATAAAGATATACTCCCCAAACCTCATGCAGATCATAGGTGGGGCTTTGGGAGATAACTGGATCATGTGTGTATGACACTGGATTAATCCACTGATTGGTTCAGCATTGTTCTGGGTGTGAATGATGAAGGAAGACCCACCCTGGATATGAGAAGCATCAACCTGTGGGTTTACACTCTAGATGAAATGAAAAGGAAAAGAAGAAAGAAGGCTCTCTGCCTCCTGCCTGCCATGCTATGAACTTTTTATCCTGGGCTGTGCCCTTCTGCCATGTCATTTAAAGCCTTTAACTTATGTGTATAAATTTGTCCTAGTGATGAGAAAGTAACTGAGACAGTCATCTCACATGACACATGGAATAGACCACTAATTTAACTTACGTTTCTTTTGTTATCCAAGTATAAACATTATTGCAGATAAGTATAAAGGAAATGCAATATGGAAGGAAAAGAATGGGTAGAAGTGAGATTGACAGGCAAAAATGGCAGGAAAATTAATAAAAAATTGTTTGAAACAAAAAAGTAAATGAGTGTGGATATACAGTATCTATTAAAATATTCTATTCTGGCAAAAATCTGCTACTTGTACTGTTTACACTCTGTTAAATCTTTATGTGGTAATACTACCAGGATTATTTCTAAGAAATCATGATGTCTCCTAGTTGAACAATATTCATCAAATCAAAAAATTCTTAAGCATATTTTTAGCATGTTAAGTTGGTTAACTTCTAGGAATAGAAACTTGACATTTATGAACAGAATTAGAAATTTGAAACAGTTTTGACCCAACAACTGATCTTTGGAAAATATTGAAATTGAATTAACACAAATTTTAAGGCCCTACTCATATAAGTATGATTTGTAACTGGAAGTTCATAGGGGGAATAGAACATGACTTGAGAAAAGCCTTGATGTCAGAATATAGGAATCTTTTTCATCATTTGATTTGTTTTAGCTTATCGTTCTCAGCTGTAATGTGTACAATGAGGTAATCACACACACAGTTTTTAAATCATAGTTTTCCGTTGCATTCCAATTCCACCCAACAATTAGGTTCCAGTTCTGGTTCTAAGAAGCTCACAGGTGATGACTCTTATCCAAGGATCACACTTTAAGAACATTGCTAAAGAAAACCCAGTGATGTTTTGGTGAGTAGTTAGATGCCTGCTTCCCAGGTGTTTTGTATTTGGGATAGGAGAGCGATGGGAGGGAATTTAACAGATCCATTGTTGTTGTCCATGAGCTCACTCATGGAACAAGGTTCGGGAGCTTAGGCTGGGAGGGTAAGGTGCATAATCACCAGGCAGACTCTGGGGAGGTTTCTCAAACACTTCTGTTTTATTCAGGAAATTCACAGGCTTAGATAGGAAACCAAGGGGGAGGAGCACGGGAGGGACATTTAACATTGGGTGATATCTTATTGGCCAGACATGGCAGAGTGATTTTTCTTGGGTGAGGCGAAGGAGTCACGGACTAGAGGCAGAGGTGTAGCCTGCTGGACTCAGCATCTACACACTTGGGTGAGTTAGCTCAGCGTTAGCAAGGTCTCTGAGTTAACTTAGGAGACAGGAGTGTGGTGCACCTGACCCAGACAGGCATGAACTTCTCCCACAATCCATACAAGACTTCAGTGAATTCCTAGTGTTTACTTCCTTATGTCACTATTGTGTCTACCAGATCTACAGGGAACCGTAGCATAATCTAGCATTTTTGAATCAAATTTTAAGTTTTTCAAAAAGATTCTAGTTCATCATCTTTAATGTCATTGTTTAAATATGTGTATTCTCTATTTATAATCATGATTATAAGTTTCTGACAGGTTAGCATCTGCTACTGTAAAAGTAATTTCTCTAACTTTTTTCTTTTTGTGAACGATGTCATACTTTTTACTCCTGATTACGTGCAGTTTAATCTGATTATCTTTAGGCCCACCCCATAGCATTGGTGAGTGAGCACAGATCTCAGTGAGTAGCAGTGTGGTCCAGACTGGTACAATTGTTTTGTTATGCTTTTTTCCATTCAATTCTCACTATAACCAGCTAGCAGAACCTATGCCACAGCCTGAATGTTGGGTTGCCTGAAATTTCTTCAATCAATTAGTCTTCTACCCATAATCTCAGTCTACCACCAAGTAGGCCAAAGGTAAAGAATTTTTTTCCCCCAGACTGTAGCACTCATAGCTTTTTGACCAATAGCCAATGAAGTCCTAATTCTCAACTTAAACTTCCTAAACCTTACATTTATCATCTATATTTCTACCAGCATTTGGATTTTCTAGAATAATTTATCAGGCTCTGTTTATAACAATCTAGGAATTCTCTAGGCCACATCACCAAACTTTTCCAAATACCCCACAAACCAACTCCAAAGGCTTTTGAACCACATGGTCAGACTAATCATAGCAATGACCCCACTCCTAGTTTTTATCTTTTGCACTCGTTTTCCCACAATGGGACAAAATATCCAGCACCTACAACTTAAAGAAGGAGAAGGTTAATTTTTACTCCTGGTTTGAGGGGATCTAGTCCGTAGCTGACTTGCTCCAAGGTAGGAATGCCATGGTGAAAGGGCATGGCAGGGCAAGATAATAGTCGTGGTTACTGGGAATTATTAAATCTTCTTGAACAAAACTGTTGAGCTTCTCTTAGTTGCAAAAAGCAAAGTTTGGCAGCTAAGGTATAATAGTACTTGTATATTCATTAATTTATGCTTTTGTTCTTATTTTTAGTTTAGTTTTATGATCATTTTGTTATTTTCATCAAAGTAAGTATATGACAGAACATTTTTAAAGATGATAATTTAAAAAGTAGAATACTCTTATACGTACATCTTTTCCATTCTTGGTCTCCTTTGAAATATCTTTTGATGGATTCAATTTTAAATTTTTTCTTTTCTTAATTTATTACTTTTGATAATTTCTATTGAATTCTTGCTATGAAAAGCGAGTATATAACATAATATATATACTCCATAAATCCTTTCTCTTCCCCTTTCCAAGGCTTTATAATTCTATGTATGTTTTTATCTTTCCTATTCAATTATGGATATTTTGCTTACTTTCAGCAAAATGCCACTTTTGTTTCACTAAATTTAGATGACACATTTTGACTTCCCATTACATTACAAAGAATATTGACTTATTACTCTTCCCTCTCTGTTTTCATTGTCCGTTATTTGCTTAGCTTTCAACAGGTTGACAAAATTGCTTTTTGTTTTTTAAATTATAAATATTAGTGGACTGAGTGTGACATGGTGGTGTATGCTTGTAATCTCAGCACACTGGGGGCCTATGACAGGAAGATCGTGAGTTAGAACCCTGGCCAGGCAACTCAGCAACTCAGTAAGACCCAGTCTCAAGAACAGAAAAAGTAAAAAAAAAAGAGCTGAGAGGTAGTGCAATGCAAAGTCCTGCTTTCATTTTCCAGTACTGAAGGGAGGAAAAAAACCTCAAGAAGTTTATACTCTGCTCGAGTATTTAAAATGTCCTGGACTGTTGGCTTTGGGCTATGCATGGGCTATTGAGTTGGGAACCTTCAAGCCCAAGGACAGTACACTGGTGAGCCCCTTTCCTCATTCTGCTTCTTTCTCTACCCCTTTCTTTCCCTTTCAACACTCCATAACTTTATTTTCTTCTCATTTATTTCTCCCTGACTAAACACTCAAACTCCACTGAAAACCAAAGCACTACTGAAAAATTATATGAATTCTTCACCACTGTGATTCAAGGGTCTGAACACCTACCTCCCACCCTGCCCCACCCCAGGTTGACTGATGTTGACCTTTTTGGGACTTAGCTCCAAGCTCCATGTTCATTGCAGTTTTCAAACTTCCCATGACCCCTGCTGTGCCATGGGTGTTTGTTGCCATGCTTGTCCTTACCAAGACCATATAAGTTCAAAAGCTCACCCTTCCAGTATGAGGCTCACAGGCAATTGGAAGAAAGTCTCATTAGTGACCACCCATAATCATTCCCCTAAATCTAAGGGAACAAAAGACCCATTTCATTTCCCAAGGTAATTGTTGCCTCTAGACTTTGTCCACTTTGATCTCTCTCAAGTATATTATCTTCACCAATATATTTAGCCTGCCTAAATAATGCACTCCAATTTTTATACAATGAATAGCTTGCTAAAACTTCTTCTTTCTGACTGAGTCCTTTCAGTGGACTTTGTCCCAAGTCTTCTTGGAGAGGATTCGAGCACTGAGACAGTCACCACCCAACTTAGGCCCATTCCAAATACCAGCAACACACACAAGTACTTGATTAACTCATCCTGAGGAGCCGGTGTGTGTGTGTGTGTGCGTGTGTGTGTGTGTGTGTGTCTGTGTGTGTGTGTGAGAGAGAGAGAGAGAGACAGAGAGAGAGACAGAGAGAGTTGCTATTTCTGCTTCCATCGCCTGTGTACATTAGATTCAACATTTTTCAGCCTTTGAATGCAAACTTGTCCCTTGTCTCTCAGGAGCTCCAAGACTTTAGCCTCCAATTGGAGCCATGTCATTGGTCCTTCCTATTTTAAGGGTTCCAGATTCTCATGTTGAATAGCTACTGGTCTTTCTAGCTCTACAGCATGAAGACAAGCATTGTGAGATTATCTAGTCTCTCTGATCCTGTGAGCTATTCTACTAGGTTCTTTCTTATAATTATTTGGACTTTCTTTTGGTCTTTTCCTCTGGAACATTCTAACCAATACACAAGATTTCTATGATTATGACCATCCTAATACTTTATTCTTGAAATAAGGTTTTGCTATGTTAACCAGGCTGAACTTAAACTTATGGACTTAGGAGATCCTTTTGTCTCAACCTCGGGAGTTGCTGGGTCAACAGACATGTGTCACCACATCTGGTTTCTAATTCTTTATTCTAAACCTGCAACGCTTTTCCTCCTGTTTCCTTTAAGAGACCTCACCTCTATTATCTAACCATAGTTGAAATAACCAAGAATTTCCTCACGTGCTTGCACCAAAGCTATAATTGCACCACAGTCCTTTGAATTCCACTTGGCAGTTACACCAAATTCCCTCTGTATCAACAGCTACCATTGTCCTAACTTGACAACAGGCATGTGGTCATTTGCCCTTCCTTGTTGTGTTCCCTTCCAATTCTCCACGTCACCCAAGGTAAACTTTCATAATTGTAATTCTGATTTTATTACTCCACTGTGTAATATCTGTCAATGGCTGGTGCCCTTGGGATAATGTCTAAACAACTAAGAATATCTTACAATTTTTTCTTTACTTTTTGATTTTGTCTCTTGCTGACAGCTCCATTATATTTGTTATAGTTTATATCTAGATGTCCCCTCAGAGCCTCATCTTTTCATAAGTAGTGCTGGTGGGAAGTGTGATCATGGGGTGTGACAATCATCTCCTCTACCATGCCCCTTCTGCCAGGCTACCCTACCTTGGAGCCAGCTGACCATGGACTGAAACCTCTACAAACCATGAGAAAAATAAAGCTTCCCTGTTTTAATTTGTGGTATCAGATATTGTGGCTCAGCAATGAGAAAGTAAGACAATTCATGCTTCAACTCATTAATCATTGGATCAAAACACTTAAAGTTTTACAGGTAGTGTGTATTAGTCAGATTTCCTAGTACAAAATACTCAACATGTACAACTTAATGGAAGAAAGATTTAATTTGGCTCCTGAAATAAGAGGTTTCAGTCCATGGTCTGCTGGCTATATAGTAGAAACATCATGGTAAGTATACTTAATGGAATTAAGTTCCTTACTTCGTGGTTTCTGGGGAGCAGAACAGAGAAACAGTGACAGAAATGAAGAACTCAGAGATCAGATGTAGGACCCAAAGTAGTGCCTTCATAATCCACCTAGCCCAACCCCAAAATGGGCTTTACTAATGCCCTAGTGGCTTCTAAACCAACCATGCTGACAATTAAGCTTAACTGTCATAGGGTGTGGAAATTATGAGCAGATTGTGGCAGGAAGGTTTGTGGAATTTTGTTGATGCATACTTAATTTATAAAGTGAGTTATCTGCACAGTTACTTATTTTATAAATTGTGAATTAGCTTAAAAAGATGGACTGAGCCAGAGAACAAGTATAGTTTCAGAAACACGTTAGTGTTTTTGTCAAACATATTTGTCCTCAAACTCAGGATGTATTCACTGTTAAGTCAAATATTGAA